TATATGTGCCTTTTTTAAAGCTGCATCATAACCAGGTTATTCCATCAATACAGTAGAACGACTGGGAGCTGCAGTTGGAACAATATGTAAAAATACAGCTTGTAAAAGATTTCCTTTATTAACTGTCATCATCCACAGAATATATGTTCAAATAAACGTTGTGTAATAACTAAATTTGAGATTAATAGGCCCCTTAAGAAACAGCGAAGTCATTCAGGATAGTCAGTGAAAAATAGCCTGTAAGACTGTAACATGCACATATTGTCCTGCTTACATGCTCTCTCTGGTGTCATTCCCATTTATCAATGTCGGCAGGCTCTGTTCTCATTAAAACACTCTTGCACAAAAGCAACTTAATTTTCTTAAGAGAAGAGGACACCTGATTCAATTTAGTGCTCAAAACCAGGAACTTGAATATATTTTTTTTTTCGTGTCTGAACTCAGATGAATAGTTATGAACAGCAACACAGATTAAACCTTATTAGGTATATTTATATTCTGGTTGCAGTAACAGTGCTGTGGCAAATAGGCTTCTACAGAGATGTAACATCTTGTTATTGGAAACAGCAGTTAAGACATGAGCTGTGGTAACACTTACATGAGATTTTATTTTTAAATAGAAGATTGAAGGAGTTGTTTAAAGGGACTCTGCCAACTCATTCAAGTTACTTCTGATGTCCTGCCTTCTTACACCTTTTCAAACTACACTGCTCTTTTTGGGTACATAAAATTTCCTTTTCTGTCCTGTTTAATCAAATAATTTCTATCACTTTCTTCAGTCTTTCTCTTTTTTTTTTTCCCCTTTCTTCTTCTGTCAAATAGGAGACATGGTTGTATTAATTTGCAATGGTAGTATGGATGCTGTAAAATCTTACGCTACCACATTATGTTCTCTGTCTTCTACTGCATAATCCTGCACTAGAACTGCAAGAGTCCTTGTCTCTTCCCAGTTCTTTTCTGCTCTTCTGGGTTTTCTTTCTCCTTCATTGTGTCTTGTGTTAAATAGGATAATTAGTCTTATTGCTGCTGCTTGAGCTGTATATCCCACTAGTGTGCAGTGCATCCCCCTAGTGCTCAGGTTTTAACTGCAGGGAATGGCAGACAGGCACACAACAGCTCTGTGTGATACCCAGGCTGCTTCCTTCCAGGATGTTCTGGGACTGTTTGGTTTCATTACTCTGCATCTGTGGCCTTGGCCCTGGAATGTCCTTTCCTCAGAGCAGGGATGACTTGGGGCCAGCCCAGCCCTGGGGTCCATGGGGTGTGCTGTCCCAGCTGTGGGGTGCCTGGGGGTAAGTGTAGGCTTTAAATACATCTGGAAGGTTGTCTCCCTAAGGGCTGCCAAATGACACTGGAGAATCAAATGTTTTGGTCTTGAAGCAGTATACACATATTGATGAGGAAATCTCTTACTTTTTTCTCTGAGGTCCACATACAAAGCTGTGAGGGACTGCTCTTTCCCTGTATTCTGCAGGAAAGTTCCAGTTTAGTTGTGCATAACAATTTCTTTGAAATCCTGCTGATAATGATAAAATGTTGCTGTTTGACCCAGGTGTTCCAAATGTAGCCAGGGTGTCTTTTCCTGTTGTTTAATGTAGTCTGGCTATGTTATCAAAATAAATTCCAAGATATTTAGCTTGGTACCAAAAACAAGGCAATGGAACAAAATTCAAAATGTGTTCTATATTTAATTCTTGAATTCTGAGCACACTTGTTTGATTTGCTGCCCAGTCACATGTACTTGCCTGCTGCATGTACTTGATGCTGTTTTTGAATACACACCTGAAGTGACAGGCTCAGCCCCTTGGTAGTGGCTTTGCCCTTTTCTTCCATCTTTTCCCAGCCTTTGTGGCCAGGAGAACTGTCTTAGATCTTGTTGCTGCCACTGTAGAAATCTAAGCAGTGTTTTCCGTACATATATTCCAGGAAAAGGTAAGAGATGAAGGGCTGGAGCTTTGTGCTAGACTCTGGTATGAGAAAAGTTTCTCATACCAGAGTTTCCAAAGTTTCAAAGTGCTGCCAGATAGGCGTCCCTCTGAGGTGGCCTGGTCATTTCTCATTTGGAATTCTCCTTGGAAATGCAGACCCTCAGCATTCCCTCAAGCCCAGTGCCATGCAGAGTTGACTGAAATTGTACCTGCCCAGTAATAAGTGATTTTGTTATTTAATGGAGCTAATACGTACAATTGTTAACTCAAGTGATGCTGTCCATGCTCTTGTACTTGCCCTGTTCAGAGTCCTGGCAGTGACTTTCAGTCATGTTTCTTGAGCTGATGCAAACCTAGAAAATTTGTCTTGTTGATTCTGCTGCTTTTGAACATGGTCTGACCTTACATTTCAATACATGGCTATGCATTTACCTTTTGAAAGGACTTCACTGTGGATTTTATAGAGAGCTCTCCCCTCATACTAATGGTAAATGCAATTAATGGTTTGCAAACACATGCAAATCTGAATTTGGAGTATTATAAAGGCATCCAAATGTTTTCATGTTTTATTGTTTCATTTAAACTGGCTGCAGACAGTCTGATATCTGCCGAAGCACAAAAAGAGCAAACACTAAAAAAAGTGATGCATTAATAGTGACTAATAAATGTTTCAAATAGAAAATGAAGAGCCTGGCTGTATCGTGTGTCAGCACTAATGTTTATTTGTATCATCCCTCTAAGGATTTCAGAGTGCTTTTTAAGGAATGAATTAATTTTGACAATGCCCTGTGAGGTATGTATCCCTTTGATAGAAAGGAGCACGAAAGTGTTTAAATTCTACAGGGTTATGCTACTAGGTATGTTTAATTACAAACTGGAGCAGTTGATTCAGTTTACTACCAGTTTGTTTAAACTGAATCAGAATCACAAATATAAGCCCCAGGTTTGTGAGTATGAGAAGAAATTACTTCTAACTTTATTTTGCAGGGAAAATGTTTACATAGAAAACTGCAGATAGAGTAATTGACATCCCTCACTCAGGCAAATAATCTGGATGATTGTATCTTAATATGCAGTCTTCCTGGTTTGTTTGTTTGGTTTTTTTCCCTCTTCTTTTGCCTGTAATGAGTGTTTAATCATCTGCTCTGGATAATTTCTGACACTTCAGAGAAAGGGAGTTAAAAATTGTAAACTTGTGTACTCCAGAACTGGTTGTGAATTATGACTTTTTCACATGACTGGCTAAACAACTGAAGCATGAAATTTATCCAAGGTTGTTGTCTTAGTCCCTGTTACGTGCTTGAGATTATTTGAAAAAAATAGATATCTTTCAGATGGATCAGGAAGGAATAAAAGAAGTTTGATAATGGACAAAATACCACCATCTAGTATCTCTCCTTAATACCTTTCCAGACACAGAATTTCTACTGAAAGTGTAATTGCAGCCTGTTTTAAGTAAAATAATGTGATATCTCTAGATGATCCCCAAATCAGGACTGGTAGCCATGTTCTGTGTTTGTGTGGATGAGTATAGTGTTTCCTGCTACATGAAAGCATCAGTTGCACAGTTTCAAATACAAGTAAAAAATCCTGATTTAATTCACACTTGTTGAAGAATTGTTTATACTACTCACACTTCCTTTCAGCTATGATCTCTGGTGAGAGAAGCTGTTTGGACTTGTGCCTCCTTTTTTTTTTTTAATGTTCAAAAAAGAAATGCTGATGAGGAAGAGGTGTTAAAATATGTTACTGTAGTTTACAACTGTCAACTGTAATGTTTTATTTAGCTGTATCTATTCAGATGCTCCCTCCACAACATGGAGTGCCATATGCCATTGTCCCTGTTAGTGAGCAAGTCAGCCAGGGTTTCCCAATCTGCATTTGTTTTTGTATTTGGGCCACTGAAGAGCTGTGGTCCAGTGCCATCTTTTATTGACAGGGCCAGCAGAGGAGGAATCTAATGAAATTATCAAAGCTTTGAATTAATTATGAACTTGAATAAGAAAGCTAAGCTCTCTAGAGCCAAGGATCTCATTACCCATTCATTTTCATTGCATCCTCTTATGGAGCAGAAGGCAGGTTCAGCTACTGCTCCTACCCTGATTTTGGACTTTATTCAAACTTGCTCAACTCACTAGCAGCCTCTTGTTATTAATCTGTGGGTGGAAGTGTCCAGGGTGATTAATTGGACTCTAAACCGGCACGTAAATGGTAGATTTCCCTCCTCCCTTTCCTCTTACCTTTGCTGTGTGGCTTTTCATCATCAGACTGGCTGCCATACCAGAGTTTCTGTTCTTTCTTGGTAATTGGGGAAAGCTATGCAAGACTCAAGTTTTAACTTCCTGGAATTTAATGAGTTCATATTAAGAAATAATACTGCTATCTTATATTTCCTGGATATTTAGGTAAGCACAAACACTTCTTAAGTCATTATCAAAACTGTTTATTTTCCTATTTTAAAAGACTGTGGAGTGAAAAGTAATGACATTTTGGCCTCAGAAGTATGGGAGATTGTGGGATTTCTTTTTGTTGTGTTTTTTGTTATTCCTATTTTAAATTTGTTTGTCAAGCTACAGGAAATTCTCTCTGTCAATACTTTATTATGATGAACTATTAAAGTAGTTTATTTACCAGACTAATATTTCATTAAATTTTTAAAAAGTGTATGAAAATGCAGTATTTTAGTTAAATCAGGTAACATTTAGTTTAATTAATAAGTCAGTATATGAAAATGTTCCTGGCAAATTAGAGCACGAGTAGTGAGACTAAGCTTCTGTGTAATATTCTTAGTTCTTGTGGATATTCCTTTTCAGTCTATCAGCAAGGATTTTCTTCTCCTCCTGCTTTTGTCCCTTTCAGCACATTATTTATGAATGCATAAACCAGAATCCATCACTCTTCATAAGTTACAGGCGACTGGCAATTTTTTAAGCAGTGGCTAACTGCCTAATGGTCTCTGCGTACGTGTATATTTGGGGAATCTAATAGCTTGGTGGGTGGGGGAAGGACATTTTGTTCTTGCACTGTAGCTATTACACCATTGGTGATATTTATCCTTTTTTTTCTTTCTAGGCAGCTGCTATATTTAATTCCGCTTTTGGAAGTTTTTTGGTAAGTAACATAGGATTTATAGCAAGTGCTTTAATAGTCTCATTTTTAACAGTGTCATTGGTGTGTTTGGATTTTTTCACATTATTGTTGGTGGAATTTTGCCATTCAAATGGCAAAAATTTGAATAATCTTTCCGTTTATGTCACCATGCCCTTAAATAGGGATATTGCAATTTCTTTTCTTTTTGTTAAACTCTTGAGAAAGGTAGTGAATAAATTGTCTCTGCTCATGGTAAATTAATAATGTGTAAACACATCTTAATTTTCTCCTTAATGGGTTAACAAAATCTATTATTATGCAGATGTTTCAGACATGGGCATCAATATATTGATTTTTCTAATAAGGCCCATCAAATACTCATTATTTTCTATCAAGAGGCCATGGATTTTGAAAAGAAAACATGACCCAGCTGATCAGAGAGTAGATGCTAATTTACTCAGTGACTTGTCATTTGTTTAGCATATTTTACTGTCAGTGAAGCCACTCGATGTCTCTGAGGAACCCACTAAAATAGCTGGATATGGGAAAGCAATCAATCCAGCTGGAAATATAACTGTTTCTTTAAAAAGCAAAAGCAGTATTTGTGGTCCTGATGGTCTACAAACATTTGGAAAGGACGCAGTAAATAACACTAAATATATTTATGAAGAAAGGAAGAACAGATTTCTTTTACTCATGTGTCGCTTAGAGAGATACTAATGAATGTTAAGTAAAAAATTATTTTATGTTTTGACTGATTGTTTATTTAGGCAGCTAATAATTGAATTTGCTCTTACTTTATGCCTGTTCAGAAGTAAGTGTTTATGATGCCAGTCTTGTGTCCCAGTTTTATACTGTGATGTATAAAATGAATGAATGATAAAAGAATCCAAATTAAAAAATTCAAATAAAAACTGTGAGTACAAAATAACTCACTTTTTATTCATGGCTTTTTTTTTTTAAATTTTATGAGAAGCTGGCTTTTAGAATCTTAAGTATATGGAACTGTACGAGCAAGAGACAAAGTCACATGGCATTTTGAAGTTGTGTTGTGCTGCTGCATTTTTGAGGGACTAAGCTGAAGTTAGGAAGATGGATATAAGTTTTTTGGGGTATGGACAACCTCTCACATATTTAAAATACCAGTTCCCAAGTACTTGTCCTTTTTGTTACCTGTAATATTCTCCTTCCGTGGGGCTGCCTCAAACTGTGGAAGTATTGGGAAAACTCTGTAGTCTGTGTATGTATGTGTGTGATATTTTTCTTGTCGCTTGGCACGAGCTCCTGGTTTCCCTGCTGTCTCCAGCTTTCAGTTCAAGAGGTTTCTGTGAATACCCAAAAGCTCAGTTCAGCTGCCATTTGGAGATACTTTTTGGCTTCAAGTAAGAATTTAGGCTCCACTGCATCTGACTACAATGCTGGCTCCTAGTAAATCAGCAGAGACATATTTTCAATTTCTAGTAGCTGTTTGCAGCTCTTTGAAGAAATCTGAGCTCAAGAAGCTGGGTTAGTTTTTGTTTTCATGTAATACTCCTAATTTTGGTTTTGGTCTTAGTTCATGATCTTTGGTAAGTTCTGCTTACATGTAATTACCTCATTTCACTTTTTGTTCCCTTCAGGTCTTTTTGCAAATGCTGGAGCAGCATTGCAGTAAACATTATTCTTACAAAGTTCCCAGAAAAGACTTTTCAAAAAATATTAAAGATCAGCTAGAATGAAACCATAATACGAGCTGACTTTTTTTTTTTTTTTAGAATAACACGGCAAAGACACTGGTTACTATTAAATTACAAATATATCCACACATTTAAACATTTGTTATGGTAATTCTACTTGAAGTCATGATTATGTAGGGAATACATGTGTATGACAAAGCAAATCACAAATATGTGTACTGAGCGCTTTGTTCTGACTAACTTTTCCGGTTATGAAGTTGATAGGATAAACCTGGTGATTGACATATGATGGTAGGTCAGGTACAGTAGTAAGTAGACAGAGTTGTTTAGCAGTAGCTTCACAGTGGTGTGGGTCTATGTGACCTTGAATTGGGCTGCTCTGGATATGGAGCACTGGTAAGTATGTGGTCACTTACAAAGAAAGTTTGCTGTTGAAAAACTAGAAAAGCATTAAATACCGTTCTATAAAATGTAAAAATAATTGGCTTGTTTCTGAGAACAAAATGGAAGGTCCTGGTGGAAGTGGTTTTGGGAATCCATAAGTTTATATTGGTGCCTAACTTATGGATTTGGCTATGGGTGGAGAACCTATGTCCTGTGTATTCAATTCAGGATGAATCTAAATCACATCTGCATTTTTCTTATGAGTGTCCAATGATGAGCGGTATGTGGACAGGCTTAGATGGAGTTACAGACCTTTGTGACCAAAACTTTCTGGAGATTATTTAGAAGGCTCTGACCTTAGCAAGGCTGAAGTTTTTCTTATGTTCCTTTTCTTACCACGTGTAGCACGTGGGCTGGTTGTGGTGCTTGTGACAAAGCCAGGACAGCGTTTTCTCTTTTCAGACTATGCCCTGTGGGCCAGTGCCTGTGCGTGATAGTGTCAAACAGGCTGATTTAAAAGGGCTGAAAGATGTGCTCTGCTAATTACTCTCCTGCCCCCACCACGTTTTTTTTTGCTTTTTTTCCTTAAGACTAGGAAATAGTGCTTGAGAAGTTAAATTAAAGTAAGTTGTGGAACAAAATGGTTGCAGGAAAATACTTGCTATAATGTTAGAATGATACTGAGATTAGCTTATTCAGATGAAATGGAACATCTTGTGATATACAAGATGTAGAAATGACAAATATGTCGTGATGAGCAGAAATGCACTTAGATTAAGGACATGGGGGTGTTTCCACTGGTAAAGAGATTTACAAAAACAGCCAGCCAACCACAAAGTAATTCCTTTTTAACTCCACCAAAGTCCGTATTCCCATAAATATACAGACAAAAAGTACATGGAATGATACACTACATATTTACATTATTTTGTTGACTTAGTTTAATAGTGTCTCAGGTCTAATTAAAACCCAGTGTTTGAAAAAACCAATTGTTACAGAAAAGTGTTTTTATATAGCTAGATTAGTAATAACTAGCGATAGATGAATTCAATTTACATAAATTTCAGCCAAGAGAATATTTAGGCTCATACCACAGAGGATTGCTCTGAGCTGGGTAGTTAATATCATTATCTCCTCCCCTCGTTTAAGCAGTTTGCTTTACAATAATTGTGCAACATAAGAAGTGATTTCAGATTTTCCTCTTAATGGGGTTTTGATATAATCTGCTAGGGTTTTACTCATACAGAGTGGTTGGTTATTCCAAGGTTGCATGCACATGTTAAGATAGAAAGCACTGTGTAGCTGCTTCCACTTGGAGGAGAGGATACTTTTGCACCTTAAGGCTGAAGAAATTACCTGGAATGTGAAGTGTAGGTCTACTGGAATTCTTAATGTTGTACGCATTGCCATGCTTCCTAAGCATTTCTATTCTGCTTCTAAAAGGCAAATACTTGCAAATGTACAAATCACAGAGCAATAGGCAGGAAGCTGCAAAACACGCTGTGCTGATGGTTGTTCCGTGGCGTTTGCCTGAGTGGTTCAGCTCCTTTGACTTTGTCCACCTGTCACTGAGGCTGCTCCTGCACTGGAGACGTGTTTGGCTGAGAGCTGCACTCAGTTTGCAGTGACAATGTAATGCCTTGTGTGTGGGACATGGACTTCCAGAACATTGTGTCCTCACAAAATGCTCTGCACTGCTGGACTGGACCAGTCTTGTCTAATCTTTCTGTCTCTCATGAATCTCCTTTCTTCTTGAGACTCTGTGCTGGGAATCCTGTAAGAATATCCAGCTTTTGGTTGAGTCAGTGTAGGCTGGTTCTTCTATGAACAGTTAGTGTGAAAGGAACAGCCATCAGCTTCGCCTTCAGCAAAGAACTGAAACAGATCTGAAGGCCTGTGGTGACAGGAAGTCAAGAGGAAAATAGAATATTCTGGGGACTCTGCTCTGGTGACCACTGGACTCCTGAGCAAACAGCAAAGCCTTGTTTAAGACTTCCTCAGTGCTGTCTTGGATTAGCTTTTCTTTCTCTGTTGAAACATAATAGATGAAATGAGACACATGTCAGGTGCCCGTCATTCCATTAATCTCCTTTGTCCAAACTAAATATGTGTGGGTTTTTTCTGTTATCTGACCATCTCTCAGAGGGGACAGAGCTGGTTCATGCCGTTCAAAAAGCTCAAATAATTTTTGTAGCCTCCACATGGCTCATCAAATCAAGGTTAGTATTTTTGTTTACATTGTCTTCCAAATGCAAGCTAAAGCTAGCAGAGAATAAAGTTAGCTTCTCACATACACCCAAAGCTTAGTTGGTTAATGAAAATGTATGGAATTCTTATCTAGTCTGCTTTAGCAGGCATAATGATTTACACAGCCTGACAGCACTAGTGCTGCAAGTAAATGCATTAGTCATAGTGTCCATTTTTCTTGCAAATTTGTGACACAGATTTAATTATGGGAATGACCAGCAACTTACAAATCTAATTTTGGTAGGCTGAGCCAACTTTTTTATTTTAATAACAATGGATTTTTTAGCAATGATTTCATTACCATTTAAAGAAATCCAACCATATGGAAATAAGCAATTGGCTGAATTTATTTACTTTATTTTACCTTAATGGATGTTGAATGGTTTAGGTTTATCTGGGGCTTTTTTACTATCACTTGTTAAATCTTAGTTATTTTTAGGATAAATAGATCCTTATCTGTCTTAAGCATTTCTAGTATAAACACTGTAAATATTTTCCTAAAATCAGACACATTTTTGTATATCCCTTTGTTCTGTCTTAATTGTGTCTTTGCAGTATGAAAAGGGGCAGAGCAGTCATCTGGGATTCCCTTTTTACTCTGCTAGCTGTTTACAAGGAAATCTTGCCAGGAAGTCTGTTCACAACAGGTGCTGAATTCTAGATTCAGTCCTGTTTAATTTCAAAGTGGAGCTGCTTTATGGAGAACCACTGCAC